GGTTTCGGTCGGAGCTCAGGGAGAGGACTGGGGTTGGCGGCTTAAACATAGCCCGAAGGGGTTAGTGCGCCACGGCTAGCCGGGAGGGAGTCCGGGGAAAAGTCTGCACCTGCCGAAGAGGCAAGAGACTTTTCCTTCCCTCTTTGTTTCCTGGTGCGCGAGGAGAGGGGTTTAAGATCGCTGCTTAAAGGAACGCCAGAGACGGGCGCGAGCCACGGCTAAAAGCGCGGACCCCAGAGACGGGCGGGAGACGCTAAGGCTGCTGCTGCTGCCACCAAGGGGACTGTGTGCAAGCACAGGTCACTATCCACACCCCTCTTCCGGGGAGCCTGTGCAGCCCGTCACTGCCAGGTTCCCGGGATCCAGGGACAACTTCCCCAGGAGAACGTACGGCGGGCCTCAGGCTGGTGCAACGTCACGCCATGCCCCTCCCTCCCCCCAGCCTGAGTGCGCCAGAGGCCCCGAGTCAGCGGCTCCTTTAACCCCGTCCTGTCTGAGCAAAATACAGACGCCCTCCAGCGACCTACACGCAGAGGCAGGGCCAAATCGAAAGCTGAGCCCCTGTGAGCTGTGAGAACAAAGAAGAAAAAGGGAAATCTCTCCCAGCAGCCTCAGAAACAGCGGATTAAAGCTACACAATCAATTTGATGTACCCTGCCTCTGTGGAATACATGAATAGACAGCGAATCATCCCAAATTGAGGAGGTGGACTTGGAGAGCAAGTTTTATGATTTTTTCCACTTTACCTCTTTTTGTGAGGGTATATGTGTATGCTTCTATGTAAGATTTTGTCTCTATAACTTTGCTTCCACCATTTGTCGCAGCGTTCTATCCGACCATTGTTTTTTTTTTTTTTTAATTTTTTTCTTCATAATTTTTAATTTAAAGAACTCTATTATACTTTACCTTCTTTCTATCTTTCCTTCCTTCCTTCCCTTTTTGAGACAACGAATCGTCCCAAATTGAGGAGGTGGACTTGGAGAGCAAGTTTTATGATTTTTTCCACTTTACCTCTTTTTGTGAGGGTATATGTGTATGCTTCTATGTAAGATTTTGTCTCTATAACTTTGCTTCCACCATTTGTCGCAGCGTTCTATCCGACCATTGTTTTTTTTTTTTTTTAATTTTTTTCTTCATAATTTTTAATTTAAAGAACTCTATTATACTTTACCTTCTTTCTATCTTTCCTTCCTTCCTTCCCTTTTTGAGACAACGAATCGTCCCAAATTGAGGAGGTGGACTTGGAGAGCAAGTTTTATGATTTTTTCCACTTTACCTCTTTTTGTGAGGGTATATGTGTATGCTTCTATGTAAGATTTTGTCTCTATAACTTTGCTTCCACCATTTGTCCTAAGGTTCTATCCTTCCCTTTTTTTTTTCCTCTAAATAATTATTTTTTTAATTCAATAACATTATTATACTTTATTTTATTTTACTGTATCTTTTTGCTTTCTGTATTTTTTCCTTCCTTCCCTCCTCTCTTTCTTTCTTTCTTTCCTATTTCCTCCTACTTATACTAATTCTCTCTACTTTTTCTCCCTTTTATTCTGAGCCGTGTGGATGAAAGGCTCTTGGTGCTCCAGCCAGGAGTCAGGGCTCTACCTCTGACGTGGGAGAGCCAACTTCAGGACACTGGTCAACAAGAGACCTCCAGCTCCACATAATATCAAACGGTGAAAATCTCCCAGAGATCTCCATCTCAACACCAGCACCCAGCTTCACTCAACGACCAGCAAGCTACAGTGCTGGACAACCTATGCCAACCATATAGCAAAACAGGAACACAACCCCACCCACTAGCAGAGAGGCTGCCTAAAATCATAATAAGTCCACAGACACCCCAAAACACACCACAGACGTGGACCTGCCCACTAGAGAGAGAAGATCCAGCCTCATCCACCACAACACAGGCACTAGTCCCCTCCACCAGGAAGCCTACACAACCCACTGAACCAACCTTAGCCACTGGGGACAAACACCAAAAACAACAGGAACTACGAACCTGCAGCTTGCAAAAAAGGAGACCCCAAACACAGTAAGATAAGCGAAATGAGAAGACAGAAAAACACACCGCAGATGAAGGAGCAAGATAAAAACCCACCAGACCTAACAAATGAAGAGAAAAAAGGCAGTCTACCTGAAAAAGAATTCAGAATAACGATAGTAAAGATGATCCAAAATCTTGGAAACAGAATGGACAAAATGCAAGAAACATTTAACAAGGATATAGAAGAACTAAAGGTGAAACAAATAATGATGACCAACACAATAAATGAAATGAAAAAGACTCTAGATGGGATCAATAGCAGAATAACTGAGGCAGAAGAACGGATAAGTGACCTGGAACATAACACAGTGGAAATAACTACTGCAGAGCAAAATAAAGAAAAAAGAATGAA